TTTTTGTCTTTTTTACTTGGTAATTCTTCCAGATGACGATTATTTAAGGGTCCATATAATTGTTTTTCAACTAGATGAAATATATAAACGAGCTTTGGTCTTAAAACTGTTCTTAAATGGTCTATTAATGCTTGTTTTACAGATTCTTCATTTACCACTGTATCATATTTAAGAATTAAATAACGAATACGTTTCTCTTCAAAAAGCGTTTTTGCTGACCGAAGTACATCTATTTCAGCATCATCAAAATCAATTTTTAATAAAAATATTGACGATGGCCATGATATATCATCAAGACGAATTGTTTGAACTTCTATTGGATGTGTTGAATTTGGTGTTAGATCATAAGGTTCTGTAACTTCAAAAGTAGTATTTGATATTTCATCACTAACTGCATTATGATAGAGATGGACAGAATCTGATGAAAATTTGTTTACTTGAATTGAAATATTAATAAGAGCAACTAAAACTGGCTGCATATCAAACATATAAACATTACAGTCACATGCTGCAGCATAGAGGCCAAATTCTCCTAAACATGCAAAAGATATATACAAATATTTTTTCTAAAATATCCTAAACTCTTAAGAAAGTCATTTACATATATTGTATCTTAACTAGAAAAAGTAATTTTTTCTTTAATAGTAAGAAAAACTGCTACTAAAAACTATACGTAGATAAAAAAATTGTCGGAAATCATATTTTTAAGAATTAGTTTACCTAGATTAGTACCAACATCGACAACAATAGTTGATGAATCTTGTTGACATTGATTATCGAGTGCAAGAATGTCAAGTAGTTTTGTTCGTGCACCGCCAAAGAAAGGTCTGGTACCATTTCGAGTAGCAAGTTTATAGACAGGCTCTCGATCAGCCATGTCCACTATAATCTCAAAAGGAGTTGTAGTTGTAGTAGTGGTAGTAGTACTTGTGGTCGTTGTTGTTGTCGTTGTTTCTGTTGTTGTTGTTGTTTCTATTGTAGTGGTAGTATCGGGTTGAATTATACCTGCTACTGCAGAATTTAAACCTTGAAAAGAAAATAATGTCGTAAGTATTTGAAAATTGGAAGAAAAATCAACATAATAAAATAAAGCCATAACGATTGAAAACATCAGTAATAATAAAATAGTCCATGACGTCTGTTTTCTGCAATAGACCCACGGTAAGAAACGAGCCGCATTTGATTCCATTAAAATAGATAATCTATATCTATATTACAATCTTTGGAATAAAATCTATATAATAGATAAATATACTTCTGTACTTGAAATAGCTATAATTGTTTTAGTATAGATTAGTTTTTTTATTTTCTTGATCAGAGGTGGTTATTTTCAAAATAGACGTCTTTTTTTTAATCTTAACTAAATATTTCTAACACTAAGGTATAATATATTTATCAAAATCGTGTAGATGAATTTACAAAAATGAAATAATTTATTTTATAGAAATAGATATTTTCTCTATTCGTATTGCTTCATATAAGGAAATAATAAGAATAAATAAATATTCATACTTACAATCGTATATGAAGATAAGTCAAAAATCTTATTGATTTTTCGAAAAGTATAGAAAAATAAAATAAAATGAACGACTAAACTAAGATACTAGTAGAAATAATTTTTAAACATGAAGGTCAAATAAATATATGTTGAGTAAAAATCAATATCATAGAAATTATTACTAAATTATGTAATCAAAAATCAAAAATTATAATTTAAAATATGTTATAAAACTGTTAAGATACATTAGTTGTTATTATATTCTTTAAGAGATAGAACTAAGAGTTATTTCAATTGAAACAAAAATAAAACACGTACCGCAACACTCGAACATATCTGCAATATATTAGTAGCGTTACATCAGTCATGCTTCAGCACATTTACATTTTTTTTTCTGTCCTTGTTTGAGCAATAGCATAAGAAAGAACGAATAAATATCTTATTGCTTACTAGACGATATTTCTCGACATATAGTCGTTGAAAATATTTGAATAACCAATTGGATATGGTATATTATATATTATCGACGTATCTATGTAGCATAAAGACACTACATGTATTAGTCCTGTACAAATCTTAAGAGTGAATAAAAAAATTTTTGATAATTTTAATTCAGTAGTAATGAAACAATTTAATATTTAGAACAAAGTTATGAAATATTCTCATTTGATATCTTATATACTATTTTACATATATTTATTATTGATTAAGATTGAAAGACTTTTATAACTGAGTAGATTATATTACTTTTTACTCGTATAATTTCACATTTCAATGTTCATTCATGTTTAATATAAATTAATAAAAGAAACTATTATTAGAATTAAGTTGAGTTCATTTGCAAACATGAACAATTATTTATTGATGATACTTAGCATTACTATTAGGATTAAGTAATGAAAAGAAAAGTAACATTTCTATAACCATATATTATATCAAACTTAAGAATCTTGACGAATACCAGCGATAGTCAAATAAAAAAGAATCCTATTATTATAGCCAAAATCAGAACAAAAAACAGAGTTATAGTTAAAAATTATTTTGGCTCTAATACGAATAGATTTTCAAAGACTTTTCTTTGAACTGAAGTCAAAATCAAGACATCAATTTTAGCTAAATTTTGTTATAATTTGAATAGACAAATATTTCGTGTAATTTATTTGATTTTTTTCTATTCAAAACAAAAAATGTGTTGCTTAGTTATTATACTAATTCAAAATCTGGAGGAATATAAATACATAATAAGATTAAGACTTCGATGTATTTTACATTTTAGATATAGAAAATAACAAAAAACGGGTACACTCTTTTTTTTAAGTTAGAAATTAATTAATGTAATTCATTTTTTAATCTATAATAATTATTATCGTTAAACTCTGATGTTTATATTAAAAACGTATTATATAGAGTGAGAAGTGACGTAATTTTATATTGTTTGTCATGTCGTTCTGCATTAATGTCTGCCGAGGAATTTATATACAAATAGTTGCACCCCATGACACCTAAGCAAAAAAGAATTGGATCATGATAGTTTTTATATTTTATTATTTCTCGTATCCTAATCGATAAAATAAAGTACACAGGATTTAATTTTTTTTATCGTTTTTATATGGATTAAAATATATAGAATATTTGTAAAATTCAAAGAAAATATGGAAATCTTCTCGCTACAGTACAAAAAAAAGAAGTTATTCAGGTCAAATTATATTATATTCCCCTCTTCTTCAGAAAAGAAAAAATTTGTTTTTTTGCCCTCTGACGAGCGCACGCGTTGATTGTAGTAATAGTGCATTTTCTGTATATATCTTTCTTCGTTATAAAGGAGAAAAAGGATTTTTTTTCCTTTTTCATATTCTCTTCTAGAATTTAGTTATGTATTAGAATTGCACTATAAAAGTTTCATCTATCTTTATTACTAGAGACATTTGCTTTTACTAATTTTTGTTAATGGATGAAACAGACCCAGAAAATTTGAATAATTCAACTACTGCATCAAGTACAAATTTGACGACTACACAAGAACAAATAACCGGTCCACGTGTATGTAAAGTGTGTGGTGGTGCTGCTCACTATTCATATTATGGCGCTGTAGTATGTCATTCTTGTAAAGTATTCTTTAGACGAAATGCAGAAAGTCGATCGGTTAGTTTGAAAAACAAAAACTCTATTTTTTTTCAATTTATTTATTTAGGTACCATCTAAATGTAATTTTGGTGATCATTGTGAAATTAATATTAATAGTCGTCGAGCATGTTCACATTGTCGACTGGCTAAATGTTTTGAAAGTGGAATGAATATTGAAATGATTCGATCTTCTTGGAATAATGAAACTAAGAAAAAACAAAAAGAAAAACGAACAACTGATTCAACATCATCAGCAGTATCAGTTAAACCTATTGAAACAAATCAACCTGAAGTGGTAAGATTGTTTCTACAAGATTCTTATTTGAATTCTGTATGTGACGTAATATCTACAATATTGTATAAACTAACAATAAGAAAAATGATAGACTAGTTAACAAAGTAAATATCATTTTTTTATAATAATAATATGCACTTATTTTGAAAAAAAATCGTTTTAATATTTATTCTTCGAAGAAATAATGGAAAAGATTTACCGAATAATTTGTTAAATTTAAAAATTCAATTTACTTTAGGTACATTTATTAACTGAGATATTTTATGTTTGCCCTGTAAATTATGGAATAAAAAAAATGTTTCCTTATTTTAAATAATCTTAAATTTATCGAAGCGATGTTTAATAAAAATCTCTGTCTATCATATGATGATGTCCTTTTCAACTTATTCTGCTCTCAGTCATATGACGATGTCTTTTTAAACTTATTCTACTCTCTAACATTTGCCTCGTAGACAGTATAAGACGATAGATTGTATACATGATAAAGCTGCTGGTTATCTGACATGAATAGAACATCCATTTTAATAAGTTCAATCCGACAGCAAACAGATAAATGATATTAAAAAAATTTAATTTGAATAATTTAGATAAAAATAATTGAATAAAACATTAATATACTTTTGTTTTTCTATTTTTTAGCTTCCCACATTAAATCTCTTACAAGCAGATCAATCTACATTAACCGTTGATCAATGGAATCATCTTTCAAATTTAGTACATTGTTTCGATGAATATAGTGGATTTTCACTTGTACAAGATTTTATTAACGAGCAAAATACATTACCACCAAAATTTCGTTTTAAATATACATCAGTTAGTAAATTCTTTACATCGATGATGGCTAATGTTCAATTAGTATTTGAAAAGAATCGTGATCTTCTTTCATTATCTTTACATGATCGTACGGCATTACTTCGTGATACAGTAGAATATACAACAAGTGTTGGTGGAGCTTATATATTGCGGCAAGCTCACTTGTTCGATTACCCGGCTTTTTCCGAATCTGCTGAACTTATTTTTCGACCAGCTGCAGTAGCTGCAACTAAACGTTTAATTGATCAACTCGATCCAGATATTATTTTTGTGAAAATTATCTGTGCAGTTATTGCATTCTTGGTATCAAATTATACAGTATACTCATCAGAAACCGTATCTCACAATTTACCAGATGCTATAAAAATCATTCGTGTTCAGGATATGTATACAGAACTAGTATGGCGTTATCTACTCTATAAACATAATCCTCAAGATGCTGTTTTATGTTTTATGAATTTGATTCGTTGCCTGTTACTTGTTCATGATTCAATTGTTAAATCTCATGAAGCACGACAATTTAATGAATTAATGGACAATGTTGTTGAATCAACTGAACATACACTAAATCTTCAAAAATGAATATATTGTTGTAATTTATACTTATCCAAGCTATATATTTTTTTCAACATTATTTATTGAAATAAAAAAGAAATATAGACAAAGTGATGATTCACAGGTAATATTCTACCAATAGAATTTATATATTCGAGCTAGTAATATCGATGATAGACGAATTTCTCCTTTTGTTTGTACCTAATAATATAGACAATGTAGAATATAAATAATCTGAAAGAAATTATAGTTTATTTATTCTTTATATGATAAATTATAAAACAGATTAAAATTCATTTACAAATAAAATCTGTTTTAGTTGACGCTTCTTCTTTTCATATTGAAAACTATTCATGTTATTATTTGTTTTCTTTTTCTTTAATCGTATTTGTTTTGTGTAGTAAAGATAAAAGTTCATTATTCATCATATAAGGACGTTGAATAGAGCCATCATTTTCATCTAAATCTTCAAGAAAACATATAAATAATGTTTTTATTGCCATATCATAAACACTAAAGAAAAGACTTGCAATAAAATATGTTATTATTAGTATAATAACCATAGGTGCCCAACGAAGTGTAAGTTGATCAAATTCATCTGTCCATTGAAGATATTCATAAAATAAATATGTATTACAGGAACATATAGCAATTATACCACAAAATAATATCCATTCTGTTAAATGTACAAGTACCAATAATCGTAAACAATTATTAATCATGTAAACAAATGTTTTGCGTGTTGCTTTACAAAATGAATAACCACGTGCTGCAATAAGTACATAAGAATGCTTATTAAGAAATTTAAGAA